CACCCACAAACACGTTGATTCCTTTAACCATGGGCGCAGCCATTATTGGAAAACTAAGAACATAAAACTCGACGGACAAAATTGAAATATCCGGATTAAAATTACTCTCTGACATGTTATCTGTTTTTTACACATCTTTTAAATAAATCAAAACAAAAAAAAAATTATCATTGTGATGCTCTTATGATTTTCTAAATTGTTTCCAAAAATTAAATTCACCGGTTATATCGGCATGTGCCATTAAAACAACACCAAAACATGCAAAAAGGAGTAATATAGAAAACATTGTCTGGTATGTATCTAGCATAAATGCCTGGTACAGAACTTCCTTGTAATTTTTATGAGGAAATTTATTAAAGAAATAATACTTCAATAAAAAAAATCTTGGAATATATATATTTATTTATATATTATTGACTTTCATGATTATTTTTTTTTTTATCTGACTAGATTTATTTAATTTTTCCCCTCATGTGGTTATATTCAACCCAATATATTAAAACCTTTTCAATAAATAAATAAAATAATAATGATAAATTAATTAATCAATCAATTAAAATAAATTAAAAAAGATAAAATAAGAATTAAGCTACCAACTCATTCTCACATTCCAATAAATGCTTTTCAGGATGTGTCTAGTTCCTCCATCAGTTTTAAGTGATACAGTGAGAGTCTTAATTAATACTTTTTTGTTCATTTTCTTCATAGGTCAAGTCTTTAAATTTCATTCGATTCAACATTACAATGAATTCCAACCAAGTAAGATAGATTTTAGATTAACCAACTTACAGTAACTATTTACCGTTCTACTTGTGTCTTAATATGTCTTCAGTGAATTTTTTGGAACCGATCCAAATTGCAATGGGTTCTGAATCCATTTCTTTGAATTCTTAAAAAAAATTCGTCACTTCTCTTTGTGATTTTTTTTTTTTACCATCTAACAATATTCTTTTTTTCATGAAAAATGGAGATAACATATCGTATACAATCTCAAAACTTAAAATCCTAAAGAAATAAGGAGCAGGGAGAACACTGACCCCTAAAACATCAGAGGTTGGATCAGATGCCATGGAAGATGAAGTTCCCTGTCGACCAGTCACAATGTTATGATCGGGAAAATGAACAGAACAAGATAAGAAAATTTACAAGTTCAATATTACTTGAAAAGAAAAACAGTTTTATTGTCATTGGTCTTTGGTTACATGTTACAGTTTTAAAAAGTGGTACTTTTTATGCTATTGATTTTGATGAATTAAAAAATTTAAGTTCAAATTTTCTGAAAAGTCACTGTTAGACACATTCATATATATACTGAGCGACATGTTCGCCTTTTTATTTTTTAGGGTACATGATTTTCCACCAACTGACATACATGTTAAGTGGTTGAAAGTCGAGGGAAGATAATTAACAGAAGTCATATTCAGAGTTTATAAAAGCACTACAAAATTGTGAGATGAGCAAACACTGACTATTGTAGTATTGGAATCGGAGCCCACAGAGAAGTGAGCATCCCCTTCGACCGGTCATTGCTCAATGGCATGAAGGACAAACGGAGAAATCCGTTGACAATTCAAGACTGTTTCTTGTTACACTTTCAAATGGCCTGATTGGAGCTAAATCTATTCTAGATATAGATACTGGCTCATTCATTTGGAAATGTAGGTCAGATGCGTCATCCAAACCACAAACACTTTTTTCTGCATGAAGATTTATATACTAGACGGAGTATAATGATACTCACAAGGTATAAACTCACAATGTCATGGAGTATGACCCCGCCTACCGAAAATTGCATTCATTCCTGCTCTTAGAAAAAAAAACCCAGAAGAATTGTTTCTCAACATACTCGACGAAGTATAAATTCTTCTACAAAATTAAATTTTTTGACATGCTTGCTTTTATTGATTTTTGTCTGTTAAAAACATATCAGAAACAAGGAGAGAAAATACCCTTCAGTTTATATCTTTGATAACACATATTCATACTGCGGGATTTAATCAATGTATGGGGGGGGGGTACGTATTGGTTACTAGAGTAATTTACTAGCGTGAGTTCCTAGTCTCCGGTTGGATACATTTTTTATATAAATTATACTGCACACCATACCTCAGTGTATTTTAGGGTAACGACCAAACAAAGCAACACAACTGAAATATGTCCTTTATTGAAAAGTGGTAAAAAGTTGACTGAAACATGTAATGTAATATCAGTGGGAAATTAGTCCGACACCTATAAAACTATTAAAACAAAAATATACAATAAAAGGGCTTAAATTTTGAACATTTTCTGCAATTTCTTCTGAAACACAAAACCTGTTTTTTTTTAAAATATGATATGAATCATCTTTAAGTGAGTGGGGATAAACGATTCAGCCATCTGAGCCCTGTTTTTCAATGTGAAAAAGGACCTCTACACCCATGCATCAATTGGCCCTTGTTAGTTCAATGAAATTGTCTAGGTATTTTTGGTATAATACAGATAAGTCAATTATGCGGATGTACATGTAATCTGTTGATCATCGCACGCATTAAAATAGGATAACTATATTTTATAGCCCTCATTTAGTGGCCTCCCTTGTATTACCGTGTGTAATACAGTCATCCCAGTCTGGCCAAAATTCTGCCTTCATCCTCTCACAGTAATTACAGAGATTTTCAAACTCTGAAAAAAGATAAAAGTACAATTCAAAATTGAAAATAATTAAACAGACTGGAGACATGTATGACATATACATGTATGTAGATTGCAAACGGTAATCAAGCTTAAAAGACCATTGAAACAATACACAAATCCGAAGCCTCTCTAAAACATCAGATGTGGGATCAGGTGCCATATGTATTATAGTATCCTTAATAAAAATCTTCTAATCTTACTTTTGAATTCCCTTTCTGCAAATGAACCTAATCCATGCCAGTAGCTCTGGGCAAGCATTCCAAAAATAGCACAATCTGACTGACAAGGCTTCTCTCCAAGAAAGAACTTTTTCTTCCCTAAAACATGAGTATTATACCAAATACGGCATCTTATTCGAGCCAAATTGACTGCCAGTGTATTGTAAAATCACACATATTGTCAAGATTTTAGAAAAAAATATGGATTAATGACGACTTGTTTTGTGGTCGTTATACATGTATATGTACACGTATTTAAAATGAAATTTTACATTTCATGGTCGACACGAAGTGTTGGTCTTCTAATACCTCGAAAACAACAAAAATTAAAATTCCACAAAATTTGTGATTTCACAATATTTTCAGATAATTTATTTTCATGTACACAAAACACAATGATGTAATTTCACCTACCTAAAAAAGAAGAAAAGTGCTGGAGACACTCAGTAATGAGTGATTCTACTTCCTCTTTAGAATGACGACCCATTCCTTGCGCATGCGCTTGTTTTATTGCCGTACGTTTCCACATTATTCTGAATATCCAAGGAACTCCAATGTATTTGAGAATCTCTGCTTCTTTTTCATGCACATAACGTTGTACAAATATTGCCCTGGATTTAAAAAACACGTAATTATTGCATAAAATACTTAGTAAATTCCCACATTGTCTTTTACATATTTCATGTGCAGGTAAAATCTTATTATTTTTCTCTGGAATATATTATATGACTGTCGTCACGAGAAAAGGGCCCTTAAGGTCAAATTTTCACAAATTGACTTTTTGGCAAATTTTGATAGCCGGACTCTTTCTGAATGCAAATATACATAAATTTTAAAAATATCTCACTTTTTCGGTATTTTATGAGCATTTTAGTGAGGCGCTCCAAAAATAACTTTGACGTTACTCACTGAAAACGTAATGACGTCGCATGCGTCTTATTCAATTTTCAAAAAATCTTAAAATTACATTTTTTTGAATAACCTCAATCGTTTTGAGAATTAAAATAATGAGAAAGTATTTAATTTTTTCTTCCAAGCGACTAGTACATGTATGTAACTATTTCTAAGGGATTTCGTATGTTATTACTATTTTCATGCTAATTTTAGAGCAGATCTAGTAATTCGTAAAAAAAAAAAGGGGGGGGTTCTAGACAGAATCTAGGAACGGTTTATAACATAATCAGTAGGGAAATAATATTTGTTTAAATCCATAAAAATCATTCTTTTATATAAAATAATCTAATTCAATTTTTGAATTTATATAAAGCACTTGTAACACGCGCAAATAGGGGCACCCCTCGCGAAAAGCACATCGATCCCGATATTTAAAAAAAATCTTATGAGACAGCATTGAATGTCACTCACCAACACACACGCACGTAACTTTATTCTTTTACGAAAAAAAAAACCATGTGTTTTCCGTATCACCGAAAAATTTAATTGAGAAATAAATTCAGATACGCTAAGATTTGTAAACTTGTTTTTAAAAACGTTTATTGCTTTAAAAACATTCATGAAAAAATATACGTTCCCTTCTTCCATGCAAGCGGATATTAAAGTTTTTACGCTTTTGAATATTTTAATAAAATGTTTAAAGCTCTACCTTTCCATTGTTTATGCAATTCATTTTCGTCGCCTGCCTTAGTTATGGAGTAGAAACGTAGTAAATAGGCAAAAGAAGGACAAATGAATTATGTATATACCGTATACCTTAAATTAGAACTTTCTTTGAATATATACCTCAAATTGAAACCGTCTATTAACTTCTTATTTTTTTTTTAAAGTACCGGTAAATCACAATTAAAATCAGTTTCAAATGTTTCTGCACAAACCCCTTTTTTTATTTGTGGCACCTGTACCCTGTTTCACTTGAACACAACTTTTGTATATTTCTTACAAGGACCGCTACTATGAATATGATCTCAAAAAATATCATTTATGTATATATTGTATAATTTAATCAAAGAGATGGGAATTGTGCTGTTCTTGTCTCTTTTTATTATATGTACACTAAACAGTGCTTGATTTTTCTGTGCGAAATAACAGTTCCATTTAAATTTTGACGAAATCTATTTGAAACTGAAACTAAATGAATACTGGTAGTGGAGCCTCATTTATCCAGACGCTTTCGTTCCTAGTCAATTTGGCCGGATATGTGAAGCGTTGAAGCGTCCGAATATCTGAATTACCCGTTAAACAAGACAAAATAACGTTAAAAACTCGTTCCGATGAAAAATTGTCCGGATAGACAAGCATCCGGATATCTGGCGTCCGGATATCTAAAATTCCACTGTATTTTTACGCAAGAATGGCAGGCCCTTAGGAAGCCATTTCAGTTGGGGGGAGCTATATTTTTTTTCAATTGTGGGCACGTTCAACCACAAAATTTTCCTTGAAAAGCGAAACAATTTTTTTACGGCCACGAACGGTCATCTATTCATTTTCCTCCGTGACAATGGCTAATTAACTTGATACCTTATAAGCTTTTCACATTTCGATGTGATTGTCTTATCCAATAATGAATTATTACGTCCAACATACGTTAATGCTTTTTGTATGAGGCAATGCTGTTAATTAAGTAATAATATACAGTTCTACTTTGACTCTCTTTCGCTGATAAAATTTAGGCAAACCATTTTTCCCGTTATTACTTCAGAACATACCAAACATATCAAAAAAAAAAAAAAAACAAATTTGACTCGATCGTACCTTCGCCTGTCCTCAAACAACTCGTTTGAAAAATTTGGGTGAGGGTTCGGCCAGAAAAAAAATAAATTTGCCTTTAAAAAAACACTCAAAAAAAAGGGGGATCGAAACTCGAATCCAATTTCGCCGTTGGGGAAAGGGGGGGGGGGTGTAGGTTCAGTCTTCTTTTAGTATCACATATTCTTAATCAAACATAATACACTGCCTTATTCTTTTGCCCTATAGTGCACGAATTTCACTATACTGCAAAAAAGTGTGTGTGTGTGGTTGCTACTTGCGTGCGACTGTAATAGCCAATAATTTCTTTAATAGAAGAAAAATTTGTGGTTGTTTATTAATTACTTTCCGTTGGGTCATGTTGTTAGGATTACGATATGAAGTTTTATTTAGATTTCAACGGAACTTAAGAAATTGCATAATGTCGAGATATGCGGGGTATTTTGATACATTTATCAGAGTTGAAGATTTCAACGCAAAATGTGTCTTATTTATTTCGTATCATGAATTCAATAGTCAGTTATATAATTATATTTCACGCTCATTAAAGCTTTTGAAGATTTTAAACATTTTCATAACTTTTGGAAATTACACCCATGACAATTTGTCACATACTTTTTGCTCTTTCAGTGAATTTATTCTCAAGAGATGTAGCCATATATCTGATATTATCCAGAAATGCGTACGTCTTTTTGCATAATCTATAGTTTTTTTTCCTTTTGGTGTATAAATATCCTCATTCATGTTATAACTGTCGATGTACTATTGTTAATTTCTTCAACATTGGGTATGATGCTTTTGGGAAAAGTCTACAACAGCTGTATTTAATTTCTTAACATATTGCAAAATAGGTTCCAGTGGACTTTCATTCATTCATTTCTGAAATTTGAAACAATAGTAATTTCTACCATAAAATTCCTTTGAACGTATTTAATTGATCATTTTGAATTAGTTTTTGAAACAAAATTTAATTCAGCAAAATTTTTGTGGCATCCCTATTATCTGTATTTTTTCCTTAGCATATTCTATTACTATTAATTTACTAAAGAAATTATATATTGTTAATGTAGAAGGTTTGGATCTCACATGTTACCAGTATCTTTATTCAATCAAAGAGGGATTATGTTTCTTTGCATAACTTTTACCGGTCTTTTTATTCGGAGATTTTTTTTTTGGCTTGTCTTCTTACCCCCCCCCTCCTTTTTTTAAAAACACATTTTAAAATCGACAGTTCATCGAAGGCTGGCTATCAGGGTACATCAGTATGATTATTTATGGATTAAAATTAGGCCTAATACACTCGGTACGTTTTAAATCATGGTATATATTTTCGGAAAGAAAGTAGCGCTTATAAGAACGGTAATTACTATATGTGCATAGACACCCCCCCCCTCTCTCTCTCTCTCTCTCTCTCTCTCTCTCTCTCTCTCTGAAAAAAATATACAAGTATATAGAATATACCTTTTAATATTAAGACTTCGTAACATGAATTCAAATTTAAGCATTTGTAAATTGCTCAGAAAACAAATATGCAGCATCTTTTATTTAGTCATGCATAGACATCGTTTTAATCACTGTTCCAGAGCTAGCAATGTGCATGTCCCATGTCCCGTATATCAACATCAAGTTAAATACTTTAACAAAATTGTGAATAAATTTACTTAATAAATTGTAATAATATCATATACCTATCAAAAATGTCCGCATCAAGCTTAAAATTTTTGTTACACTTTGAAATTCAATTTTATTTCTTGTTTACAAAATGCAGTCAACAAAAATTACTTCCGTGTTTACAATACCGCGACTTTGACGTCGTTTTCTGAGCATTGTGACGTCAAAAGATTAGGGCCCTTTTCTCATGACGGCAGTCATATCACAGTTTGTATATATTCAAACTATATCCACTGAAAGAAAATGGCAAAGTATCTGTCATTTTAGTGTGCAAAATTATTTAGCTATACTTGTATAAAACATGAAATGGGAATCAAAAATGCACTGTCCCCGTAGTACTACCAGTAGAAATACTCCTCCGCCACTTTTTGAAGAGAGTAAGCTATGGCCTTTTCCTCATCTGTGAAATCTTTGTCTGGATCTATGTTGAGTGTTTTATTGATGAACTTGATACAAAACTCTGAATCCGCCACCTCCACCCCATTGTATTCAATCCATGTTAATTTTCCTTTGGAACTCTTGTTAGGACCACTGTCGTATTCATTCTGTTAAATTTAATATTTTACATTTAAAAAATGCATACATCTATACAGCAACATATACCGAGTACATCTAATGACTTCAATAACCCTACAACGACTGTAACACTTTTATTGAGTGACTGCATACATACAATCATTTGACTTTTTTGGTATTAGATCTTTTAAAAATATGTCATCATGACTTAAAAAAAAAACAACAACAACAAAACCCTGTTATATTCATTCTATACATAACACCAAACCTGATATCGAACTTTTGCCATCCTGAAATAGGTCTCCAGTTTTAAAGCAAAAGGAGTTGTACTTGGAGCAAACGGTCCTCTCGGTATAGTGTGGTGAATAATCGTGTCTCTAGGATAAGATTTCCTAAAATAAAATAAAAACACAGTCAAAGTTACTGTAATAATTGATACATGTACGGCCATATCACTACTGAGAAGCAACGGTTTGAGGCATCCTCCTAAAAAATCTAACAAACAAATAAAAAAAAATTACCCAAGGAAAACCATAAATAATATGCAAGCAAGGGATGTGTTCAAAGGAACTAAACCAAGGCGCTTATCTTTCATCATGATTTAAATAAGCCATTTTCTCAAATACCGCCAACAGTCTGTATATGTGATTTTTCTTTTGTACCCTTACATGTTACGTAAGACATTATGACATCACATTGTTGCGTAAAGAAGTTTACGTTAAAAAAACAAAACACTCTTTTTCTCATCAACACCATGCTCTGAGTACAATCAATCTTTAAACG